CATGAACTACTCGTTGTATCCCCCAAAGTCCATGTCCATACAGTTGATTTATGTCAGTCTTAATGCTTCCAAAACCTAGATCTGACCTCATAGGATCGATATAGCACGTAAAGTTACAAACTTTACGTGCATTCATGGATTAACTAGCTCATAAGGACCTAAAATGAAGTCTATATGGCGCATGGGACTCCTATGGGCATTAATTTGGCACCTTTATGTCATGGGAACCCTTAAAGGTTCAACCCCAAAGATGAACACAATCCCAAAATGGCTTCACTATGACCTAGAAAAGGTAGAAACTAGCCCTAAATAGAGATCTAAGAAATGAATAGTCAAGGTTTCAGCTTTCTACCTCAACTGAGTTGGAAATGTGCCAAAACCTCTGGATCTACTTTCTTTTTCTTGATCTCTCAAGCCTCCTCTTTCTTCTCAAGCTTCAAAGAAACACACAAATGGCACAAATGCTCAAGAACACTCAATAATAAATTAGGGTTCTGTGAAGAACGTGTGAGGGTGATGGAGGATGGAGTGGAAGCCCTATAAGTTTTCTAAATAGGGTATAAACCGTCAAATTAGGGTTTCATCCGGACAGGTCTACTCGTCGAGCCGGGGCTTCCGACTCGGCGAGTAGATTCTTCCACCCATGTCCAAACTTTGTCTCGACTCGACGAGTTGGGGCCTCTAACTCGTTGAGTCCTAGAGTAACAGTGTAAGAATTCATATTTAAAATGCATGCCAGGAACCGGGCGCTACATCTGACTTTGCATATCTTTTGGGCCTTGGGCCTATTTTTATGTGGGCCTTGGTGGGTTAGGCCCAACAGGATAAGGATTAAGTGACTTTTTCCCTTAAAGCTACAATTTAGGGTTTGGCTCTCGGGTTAGATTATTGACTTAATTTGTAATTAGGATTTTTATACGTGTGATCTAGTGAGTGGATTTTGCAAATCAGCAGCCCGAGTGTGAATTGATGTCTTCAGTATGAGATGAGTTTCCTTCATTGTATCTGTTGGTTGAATGCACCAATGTCGGCCACTAGTTTATGATGTAGTATGATGATTTTCTTCGTGACAAATGTCAGTTATGCATGTATTTTCTTGATGAGTCTGTGATTCTTTTGTTATGATATTATGTGGTAGTGGTAAGGGTGAAATACACACAGTATTTGGTTAAAATAAACTAAAGGGGATTGCAAGCACCCAGATATGCTTGATGGTATCCGATTGAAATAGACCGAAGGGGATTGCAAGCACCCATATATGCTTGGTTGTATCTGGTTGAAATAGCCCGAAGGGTATTGCAAGCACCCATATATGCTTGACTGTATTCGGTTGAAATAGACAAAGGGGATTGCAAGAACCTATATATGCTTAACTGTATGTTTGTATGGTATGGAGTATTTTAGGGGAACTCACTAAGCTTTGTGCTTATGGTTTTCAATTTATGCTTCAAGTACTTCCAGCTCGAAAGGGAATGGCCCGACATGATTGCACTACATCCACCTATGATTTTCCATGTCACATGATTTTGGGATTTTGTGCTATGATAATATGTTATTATGATATACTCTCGACTATTTTTATATGATTATGGTATAATTGAAATGAATTTAATAGTGTAAATTTTATTTGAATTTTTGGGATGTTACAAGTTGGTATCAAAGCCTTGGTTTGAGGGATTTAGGCATACTCTTGGGTGTGCCCGAACTCAAATCGAGGATTTGGTAGATTTTCCATAAAAAGAAACATTTTAGCTAAGGAAATTTTATAAAAGAAAAGGGATGAGATGCGTGCAATCAGCCAAGCTCAAGTAAGTCTTTTTAAAATACCCATACATGTTATATGTTTTACGTTATGATATGAGAATCACATGTTAGATTAGGACTAAGGATTTACTCATGATTGCATGATAGTATGCTAGGAGAGATGCCTTTATATTCGTTATTGTTTGAGCTTTTAGAATTGCGTGCTAGTACGGATTTTAGATGATTGGATGGATTGGCTTGATATGTGATACCTTGTAGCCTAAGAGGAATTAGATGTTATACTAGATTTGGAATCTTTTTTGGTAGAAAGTGAGTGTGAGGTGTCCTTTGTTTGGCTGTGGCTTGGAGTGTTACTGCATGAATGCTACTTGCTTTGTGCTTTGTGAGACCCTTGGTGATGTGAGTTAACTACTAAGTGATTATGTTAAGTCACATGTTGTATAAGTTAAATAATCTTAGAGTGAAGGATTTGACCCTACAACACAACTCTTGTTTGAGTTTAACAATTGTAGGGATGAGTCTTTTACTCGAAGGATTATCTAATCTTTGTTTCATGTGATTGTATTCATGAAGTAGTAAACACATATTATTAGAAGTTCTTCAACAGCTGATGACAGGGTGAGGTCGGGAACCTAAGAGAGCATAGGATGTGTTGTAGTGGGTTGGATTGCGATGTCTAGTGATGGGTATTCATTTGAGAATAGGTGTATAAGAATGGATAGTACAAATATGGACAGGAGTAGTTACTTAGAGGATCTGAGATGATTCTTAAGGAAAGTATCGATAGGCATGGAAGGTAGTATTGTGCCCGTACTTAGAGGATCAAGGGTCTGCTTTCTTGAATCTAGTTAGGTCAGGTGTTAGTTGATTGTTTCAGGAACCAAGGGAAGTGAATCAGTAAGATCAACTTTTTTTGTCTCTGATGTATCCTGACTAAGAGTATAATGTTTCTTATATTTATGAGTAATGCTTGTGATGAATTTTTTCCTCGGGAATTAGGCGAGGTGTGTGGTAGCTCATGTGTTTCTAGATGGAGAATCGGTGTCATGAATGAACAGAATTATTGTTTATTCATCTGCATGGGATTCTGATGTTAGAGGTGGTTATGATTGGGAGCTTTTTGAGGTCTCCATCTGAGATCCGGAATAACTTTAAGTTCGCTTGGTCCATATATGGAAGAGCAATCTTATGCTGTGCTATATATTCTAAAGATTCGGGGATGCTACACATTCGATTGAACCAGTTTGAGATGTGGTTTATCTGCAACATCATTTAGTGGTAGTTCGAACCCTAAGTGGGGTAGAACTGACTATTTCTCTTGAAGGATCACCCCTATGTTCGAGTTTATGATTTTAGAAGGATGGGTCTTAGGGATTTGCAGTCCACATATACGGAACATTATTTCAGGATTTGGTCAGGACAAAGGTGCATAGCAATTTATCATCAGATGTATGTGTTCAGGAGTGCAAGAGTCATTTTCGCGGAAAGAAGATGTTGGATAAGCAGCTTTGTTGTAGCTAGTGGCTCCTCTTGGAATGTCACTGAATATATCAAGAGGCATTTGGGACGCCCAGGTTGAGCATCGAGTGCTGAGGGAGTCCTCAACCCGTTGTATAGATTGTTATCCCTGTCCTAGGGTAGGATGTTATTGATCGGTAAATCAACTTCAGAGTTTGGTATGTTTAGTTTCATATGGGTTTTTTTAGTAGTGATAGGGTTTTTGGTTTAGTTTTCACTGCGTTCTCGATCTTTGGTTATTTCGTTCATCATCAAACGTATAGGTTCTTCGAAAGTTTCGAGTTGTGTCAGTTGAAGTTCAATGGTTGCATTAACCTATCGTGAAGCTCTATATGATTTATATTTTATTTCTGTGTATGTTTACCCTTATTTGTGGTGTGGAATTTTGGTTCATAGTAGGCTCAAGTTTGGCAAGTTTCCTTGGTTATGGGAAGTTTGAATGTTGGGGTAGCGTTGTTCAGCTTTCTAGGTGTGACCTTGATCTACATAGAATCTAACTTTTCGCATGTTGTGTCGGTAGGATTTGTGTGTGCATGCATTGTATGTGTATTGTTGTGTGGGGGTATTTTGAGGAACTCACTAAACTTTGGCTTATAGTTGTGGATTTGAATGTTTCAAATACGTTAGAGGATCGGGGGAAGGCGACGAAGTGATTGTACGCATCATCCCGTGAATTTACGTTTGAAAGATGTTATTTGATACTCTGATGTTATGATTATGTTTTCAAACAATGAATTGGATGACCTATGGTTTTATGAAAATGTATTTTGGAAAATGAAAAATATATCATGGTTTTTGGGATGTTACACATTCTCTACTTGGTAGTGTTGTTTTGCACATTTAAACACATCAAAGTCATTGCAACCGCTTTGCTTTTTTGAATGAAGCTTTTTGTATACCCATTGAATTTTATGCACCTTCTATTCATTTGATTCTATTTACTACTAAGCATATCACGATTACGGTTTGGTTTTTTCTTCAAGATACCGTGAAATTTAGCAAGAACCACTTCCGAATAAGCACATTTCTTCATACAATTTCCATGACTTTTATTTTTCAAATTCCCATACCACGCTACCGCTAAAGCGTACCCCTCGTCTAGTGTCCATCATTGTGGAATTTCTTCATTTTTCGTGACAACCGATTTACCTTTCCTTTTCCTTCTCCCACTACCTATTTCTTGTGTTTCAGTAACGATATCTACCGATGGTTGTGTGGGTGGTGGTTATGGGGTTGTTTGTGTTTGGACATTTGGCATTAAAGAAAAATTATTGAAAATGTTTTGTTGTAAATTAGGGTTTTATCCAAAGATTTTGTTGAATGTATGGCGATGAAGGAAATTGGATTGGATGTGAGGTGAGATTGAAATAATTTACTTGGAATGGTATTTGCGGCGAACTTGGAGAATTTAATGGTTTATATAATTTTCATATAGGGCGAATCCGATGAGAGAGGTTGTGTTTGGTTGTGGATTTGGGTTGTGTGGATATGTGTTTGGGTTTTCTCCATTTTTTTGGTTGAAGTGGGTATTGAATTGTATCAAAATATAAAGAAAAAGAAAAGAATAGTATGAAGAAAAATTTAGTAAAATTATATATATATATATATATATATATAAAACTTAGATTGATATTCATTGTAAACTATGGCTCCATAAGTAAATTCTTCCTCCCCTCCAAAACTCATTAATACGGACGAAAGCACACAGTGGTGCAAGTATGGCTGAGATAGGCGGAGGAGGGTCAGCTAATGGACACCATGGGGAGACGGTTGATATAAAAGATGAACCCGTCTCTTCAACCGCCAATTCTTCCTCCCTTTTCACTATCCCTTTCTGCCAAAAGGTGAATCATATCTGTTTATGATAAGCTGATCACGTGTGTTCTTTTTTATTAATGAATATCTATCTCTTACTTTGATATTTCCTTTATTAATTCTTCTTCTTCAAACTTGAGATTAAGATTGGTGGTGTTATAGATCTACCATAAATGATATTTTCTTAAGCATGGTTTCAATTTTATCGCAGTTGGTAGCCGAGTTTCTGGGAACATATTTCATGGTGTTTGCAGGGTGCGGGGTGGTGGCGGTGGACGTGGAGAAGGATCATGTGATCGGTCAAGTTGGAATTGCCATCGTATGGGGAGTGGTGGTGATGGTGATGATCTACTCCGTAGGCCACATCTCCGGTGCCCATTTCAACCCTGCGGTCACCATTGCCTTTGCCTCTTGCAAGAGATTCCCTTTAAAAGACGTGAGTAAAGTATCATTTTACCATTCGTTTAGATTTTAATGTACATTAATATACTTGTCCATTGAAACATTGTTTTTTAGGTTTTTGCATACGTAGTTGTTCAAATCCTCGCATCAACTCTTGCATGCGGAACACTACGATTAGTATTCAACTGGAAACACAATAATCTAGGTGCAACAATCCCTGCGGGATCCGACCTCCAATCGTTGGTGCTGGAATTCATTATTACATTCTACCTCATGTTTGTTATTTCTGGGGTTGCTACCGACAATCGTGCTGTTAGTATAACTTTTTTCATTATCATATTCATATATTCTACCTCTTGTTCTTTTTTATTTGGTTTGACTTCTATTCTCGAATTCATAAATCTTTAAATCATGGTTGACTTTATAGCCATTTTTATACAGCTAAAATTCCTAGGAATATTCTTTATTGATCATATTTTTTATTATTTTGATTTAGATAGGGGAGGTTGCAGGACTTGCCATTGGATCAACCATTCTACTCAATGCCATGTTTGCAGGGTACGATTTCTTTTAGAAAAAAAAATATTTTTTTTTCTATTCTTTTATTTATTTGTTTGAAAAAAAATTATGATGTTGGGTGAAGGCCAATTTCTGGGGCATCAATGAACCCAGCGAGGACCCTAGGCCCAGCCATTGTGTCTAAGGAATACAGAGGCTTATGGGTTTACATATTGGGACCAATTATTGGAGCTATTGCGGGTGCATGGTCATACAATGTACTCAGGTTCACCGATAAGCCTCTCCGTGTCATTGTCAACAATGCATCTTTCCTGCAACGTAGCAATGGACGAAATCGGTAATTCTTTCTTTGTATCAAATCTCTAAAAAAACTAAATAAATCAAAGCCTCTTTCTTTTCTCAACCTCGCTCAAAACGCGCACTAGACTTATTATTTCTCTTTTTCTCTTAATGCTTGGCGCACATTTTCTAATGAAGAGAGGCATGGTGTTAATGACATCATTACTTGGATCACAAATGTGCATCCATAGACATAAATACAGTCGTATAGATGAACACCAGCCTTATTTATGGGCCCAAACAAATATTTAGAAACATTTTAATTAATTGTCTTATACATCCAGAGCCCAACTCCTAAGCCCAGATCTGCGGAGGGGTCATCTAATTTACAGGTTAGATAATGACAGGCATATAATAATTAAAAATAGAAGCACATTTTTTAACACAAAAGGCTGAAAGTGGAGAAAAACATAATTATGCGACTACACGTTACCATTGATTGAGGTTAAGTAATATAGGCAACCGTATATAAAGGAAAAAAGGATAACTATGAGATATAGTTTAAAAAAAAGTTGAGTAAATTACTGAAATCTTCTCTATGGTTTGGTTAAAATTTCATGTTTGGTTTCTATTTTTACTTTTGCACTCAGATCATCCATGTGGTTTGATTTTGTTGCGTTTTTCGTCCCTTACATATATAAAATTAGGGATAAAACGTGCAATTTTGATCAAACCATAGGGACGAATAAAAACCAAATGCAAAAAAAAAAGTTAGGGACCAAACGTGAAATTTTGACCTAACTATAAAGACGATTTCAATAATTTATTCAAAAAAGTTAGAAAATGGATAAAATTTTCCTCCATTTAAGACACAATAGAGAAACTTGAAGAAAGTAGATCTTCACGCCTAAATATGGAGTCTCAGACCCAAGCTTCTCCCAGGTCTTTCTTCTTCATTGAAGTTTTTATATTTGTAATTATACATCAAATTAGTTTGAATTCAACAAGTACAAATTAAGCCGATGAATTTCTTACACATATATAATATATATAGTTTTTACTTATCTATGAATTTAATCAGGATTGATGTGGTGTAACTATAAGTGACTAGATTTGCTACGTTTCCTTCTATACAGCAATGATAACAAGCCAAACTCCAAGTGCCCAGATGGATGGACATGCGCCATCACCAAAACTGAGCCATCTAAGATTGGTAAACCATTCGCAATATGTGATGGAAGTGGTTGCACATGTGTCACGTACGTATTAACGTAAGTTCTTTAATGCTAATGAACACTTTACTTATTTAATCTTTGAGCTATGGTAGTGACACAACAACTATATGCATGCATGGTGTTGCAGTCAGACAGTGGAGAGCTCTGCAGTTGAAGCAGCCAAAGCATTCTGTGAGTGTGCTGAAGGTTGGTCTTGTGTTGTATCCAAATTGACCGAAGGCTCTGAAGCCGGAAAGACCTATTTTGAGTGTGGCGAAGGTTGCATATGTGTGATAGATGAAACAAACAACGTGAAGGTTGTGTGTGCTTGAGTTTTGCACCATGTGGTTGATATTCTAAGTGAACAAAGGGAAGAAGGAACCAAAAAGACTACACATATTATTATGTTTTTCCTAAAATAAGCTCCATGTGTCGTGTAAAAAGTATGTGAAGTTTGTGTTAATTTAGCTGCAGTAATTATGGTGTGTGTGTGTGTGACAAAAGACTATTTAATTGGCTTTTCAGAGGTTGAGGAGGAAAGTCATGGTTTTTCCTATGCATAATATGGTAGACTTTATTGTTGATAATCTGGTCATTCACACAAATTGTTAAATACTCGAAATAATTACAAATATCTTTTAGGCGTATTTTTTATAGCAATATAAATAGCTAAAAGAAACTCCCATCAAATGTCATATAAAAGAAAAATTAAGAAAAAAAAGATGGAATTTGTTTAGATTTTATTTTAAGCATTAAAAATTAACTTTTAGATAAAATGATTTTTTAATTTATGATATGGGAAAATGAATTTTTAGAAAAGTGTTTCAATTAATTTTTACAGCGGAAAAATCAATTAGTTCCGTAAGTAATTTTGTTAAAAGTGTTTGTTATAGATGTTTTAAGGGTATTTTAGATTTTACAACCTAAAAAGTTATTAGAAATTCTAATTTACTGAAAAAATTGAATAGTTAATGAGAAGTTATTTTAAAAATCATTTTCATATTATCGAATATTTTTTTTTATTTATTGACTTTTCAAAAATCTAATAAATAAATAAATTGGTTTAAATTAAATGCCAAATACCCTCTTAGATTTGTTGATAGCTTTTTAAATATCGTATATCACAATGTTTTAATCTATTTGAATATACATGTAAAGTAATAAGCTTAAAGCAGCGATATTTTAAATAAATAGGAAAAAAAAAATGATTGCTAACATGTTAAGAAGCTTTTGGAAAAAATAGCTTCAACTAGCATAACATAACTAATTAGTAGATTGATAACATCACTCAAAACAGGCAAAAACTAAAAGTAAGTTTACAAAACCAAATATCATAATGAGGATATTGATGTCGTTTGTTATTTACATATTATTGTGTTATATATAAATGGAAAAATGGGCACACTATAATCCTACAATGTTTTGTATATTTGTTCATTCGGTTATTTATGTTATTTTCATGACTTTTAAGGAAATAAAGTTTTATTTCTCAAATCGAATAGATCCATTATAAAACTGAAGGGATCAACCGGTGACTTCCTCATCTAAAACGATAACCATTTGACCAATCCATGTCTTTATTTGTCCATTTGACCAGTTCATCTCCTTCCTTCTTTTTCTCAGATTATTCTTCTTCACTTTTTTTTCTCCTTTCTGCTTTTTCTTCTGCTGCATCCAACACAAGAAAATATGGTTATATACAATTGTAGAGGCATGGCAATCATAAGGACTTCCATCACTAAGAAGAATCTCGGTAGAGAATAGTATGCTTCCCAAATATGATACTCCATTCTCACGAAACATTTGAGTTTTTTTCAATTCTAACATAATTTTGCTAATTGATGATATTGAAATCTATAGGGACCCAGGAGTGGATTTCTTTTGTGGGTTGACGAGGTTGAAAATCATGTGCATGATGTTGAAGTCCAAAATCAAACATTGAGGGAAGTAGTAATCCAAAATTAGGGCATGAACATTTACTTGAAGGAGGTGGTAAGCCAAAAATCAAAAGATGAAGATTTACTTACTACTCAATTGGGGTTTTTTTTAGGCATAATTGTTTACAAGCTATAATTTATAACGAATTTGTTATGGATTTTTTTGGTTATGCAAAATGTTACGTAACAACGATTGAAATTGGCTATTAAAGGTAGAGTGACTAAAAAGATAGATCACTAATAACTTTGTTTCCTTAAAAGGCACGGAAATAACATAAGTGACTGAATGGGTAAATGTGCAAAACATCATAGGGCTACAGTATCATTTTCCTTATATAAATACTCTATTTTAAAATGAGTTGTGTGTCCATAAATTACATAAACACAATCAATTAGTTCTTTCAAAAGTATAACATCATATTTAATAATTCCATTAAAATATCAAAAATCCATCATGTTACCAGATTATTTGTTCTTTCCCATTGAACATGTAGATATGAACTTGAATCTCGTTTGGTACATTCATCGATAACAACTATGAGCTTGTTTATTGCGTTAAAAGACTAAGTAAACACCAAAGTTATGATTTATATGTAAAACAAAGTTTTTGAGATAACTGAACAATGATTGGAACAATTACACTAAAGTATATTTGTTAAACGCTATTCAGACAGAAAGTAAATAAATGCAAAAATCACATTTGATATTTTAAAAGGTTTTAAATTGCTTATTTGAGAATGTTTAAACCTAAAAGAGTAAATGTAGAAGAGAATGGATGAAAGATATACATAAATAGATAAACTACATGTGATACAATTGAATTGAAGGAAGACGTAGACATCCATTTGTGTCTCCATGAATGCATCAGTCATGATGGTGGGTCGGAATAAAGGATCAAACAGCAGTCAACGGAAAATAGAAAAGAGGGGTATTAGAGGCATTCCATATTTTCGTATAATTATAATGATTTTAAATTACAATTATTGATTATGCAAATATCTAAAAATGTTTAAAAAAAAGATTCGGTAATATATGATATTTGAATGCTTGTGAAAGGTATATATGGCATTTAGATATTAGGCAGGTCAAATATGATTTTTTGATTTTTATTACGGGTGTATACTAAGTTCTTCCCATAGCTTACTATATTTCACAATTCACTCAAATAATTCCTGAGTTTTGGTTTATTATCATAAACTCAAAAGCAAAGGCAATAACGAAAGATACAATGTTATATGTAGATTTTTTGTTACAAACAAGACCATGATTGATGGACTAAAATTATAATATGACAAGTTCATAGCAAAACTAACATGTATATTAAGCTTTCCATGAAGACAAAGGTGTCGTGTTATTATCTACCTAGGATTTCCTTGGTGTTAGGGCCATAGATATTAGAAGTGTCAAGTAGGGTGACATCAACATCAATTACGTGGTAAATGAGGTTATTCATATCTGGTTCAAGTTTTAGGGTCTATAAACAATTGACATACTTATTGATGTGTTTTATTTATTCAGGTTTTAAATTTATAAAAGGTTTAGGAGAATTGAATTGTTACACACCTTAGGCAAGTGTATCTAATCATATATTACTATAGCAAAGGTAATACCAAGTTCTCTTCAACCTCGTCAAGTTAAATTTTTAAAGACTTTTGTGTTATAAATATTGAGAGTTTTGTTGTTATACATGTTGAATTTTATTTCAAGTATTGTCAATGTATTATCTTAATTATATTTTTATTATTTTATATTCCAACTCGTAAGGTTGCCCATGCTTCTGATGGATTTTGAGCATAACAAATAATCATATGTGTGCATGCAACCCTTGATTGTTATGTTGCAATAACAATGAAAATCCAAGTCTTCTTAAACCTTGAGAGCAAGCGTCACAAGTGTCACGCCTCTAATGATTCACACCCAAACTAAGCAAGAGGATGAGAGAGGATAGAGGGGAGGAGGCTTGAGATTTTTGGCTATCCTTCTAGGGTTTAGAGTGGCCGAAAATGTGAAGCCTTATGAGTCTATTTATAGTGCAGATAGGATACACTGGATAACCCTAATTTGAATAAAATATTATTATTTCAAATTAGATAATTATCCACCTCCTTAATTATCTACTTAGGATAATATAAAACCCTAATTATCCTTAGTAAAATCGTCCACCACCTTCTAGGAAGGTCCTGGAACCTCTTTCTCAACTATTGAACAATTACACTATAGTCCCTGCACTTTCAATTAATTCTTTTAATCCCAAACTTAATTCCAATTAATTTCTGATTAAATATTAATTAAATAGTATGATTTCTAAATAATATATTATTTTTATAATACATTAATAGATCATTTATTTCAGTTTATTAATCAAATAATAAATTCATCCTCTCTCCAGATATCATCATGTCTAGTTGCTAGTTATGAGGGGAACCCAAAAGGACTGTGCTACCATCAATTCAAGTATTGACCAATTATAGTTATGGGTTTAGACACCTAATCCAACAGTATCCCACTTTGATAATTCTGATAACTATAGTTGCCAGTATAACTTCAAATTTTGATTACCAAATTGTAGCTCTCAAAGCCACTGTCAACTCTGACTTAGTCAGTTATATGTCCTAAGATAAGTAATCATATAATCCTCTGTTCTGCAAGATATCATGTGGACAAACGACATGGAACATAATCAATCTCTTTGTCCAATACTTTGTTTCCTGATTTTAGATTTGTAATGACAAAGAACTACTAATCGAACACATCAATTTAGTCTTGTTCGGGCCCAATACTATAGGTCAACACTAAATCATCGAGATGCCCAAGATATCACTTTTCCCGTTAGGGTAAAAGGAAAAGATAAATTTTGCCTTGTATGCTTTCACTATTTACTCATCAAATTATGAACAACAATATGTTTTACAACATCAAGTTACTGATGTGTTTACGCATTATCAATGGACAACCAACTTGTAAACAACAACTCATATATCTCCATTTAAAGATTATACGATATTATTAGAATTACTCATGATAAATTCTATGAAGTAATTCTCTGAGCGTGGGTTAATCCAATACTTAAATTCTCTATTTCAAAAGTACTCATGAATATTACAGCAAATCATTGCTATGTCTAAAACTCGTTAGACAATCTACAATCATATTCATGACAATCTCGATTCACTACTTACTTCCAAAAGTATGATCGATTGTGGATGTTTGAATAATCCAATTATTCGGGAAGTAAAACATGTGAAATGAAACACAATAAAAAACAATTGAAAAATGATAGTAAACAATACTCATAAATAATTCTCTATTATTTAATCATAAAAAGTCAATTACATTTACTCTGTTACAATTTTCTAAATATCTATCTAACTACTAAAACTAATATCATCCTTCAGACCAATGCTCCTTGCATGTTGAATGTACTTAACCCTGCTCATGCCCTTTATGAGGGGATCTACGGGATTCTTTTCAGATGATACCCTTTTCACGACAAAGTGTCCTTTTTCTACTCTGTGTCTGATAAAATGGTATTTTCTGTCGATATGTATCGATTTTCCATGATCTTGTGGTTCCTTTGATTTGTGGCAGGCATAAAGGAGACAATGGAGATTTTCTGTGATAATGAAGGAGCGTTTTCCTTGACAACGTTTGAGTTGGATGAACCTTCGCATGTAGAATCAGCCACGGTATCCTGTTTGGAACTTTTCTAGGTTACTGGTCTTCCGTTAAGGGTAATTACCCATCCAG